AAACCTCCCTCCCATGCAGCAGGCACGGTTTCGTATAGGTGATAAGGTTCCAATTACCAAGAAGAAAGGCACATTTGAGAAGGGTTACACACCGCGCTGGACCAAGGAAGTTTTCGAGGTGTCTCAAGTTCTTTCCACCCAGCCACCAACTTATCATCTCAAGGATTAAAATGGGGAGGAAATTCAGGGATCCTTCTATGAGCCCGAACTTCAGAAGACTGATCAGGACGTCTACCGTATAGAAAAGATCCTCCGCAGGCGAACCAAGAACAGGATTGATGAGGTGTTTGTGAAGTGGAAAGGTTATCCTGCAGAGTTTAACTCTTGGATCAAAAAGTCAGATGTACAATAATGTCAAGCTTTCAAGCTTTCCCTTCCTTTCAATCAGGACGGGAAAGGTTGTTGAGGTTACCCCAAGAGTTAATCCTATCAATGTGTTTATCCTCTTCAGACGCAACATCAAGCTCGCGCCGTGACCTTCCTTTCTTAATCTTCTTTTCGAGATCGTTTATCTTACCGTTGAGGCTCATGACAAGTTCCTCCCAGGTCTTTGCGTACCAGCCTTTAGTCACAGGTTCATTGGCCGATTTGGAGTTGGGAGATTGGTGATTGGGTGTCCCAGCATATCTATTTCACCATTTACCATTCCCCCGGTCGAAGGCAAGCACTTCGCCACATTTTTCTCGATGCCGTTTAAACGTTTCTTCTCCACCTCAAGCTCTTTCGAGATTGCTTCGAGCGTAGCCTCTAGATCATTGATGTCTTTTATAACATCTTTCAACTGTTGGGTCACCCACCGTTTTGTCACGGCATCCGAGCAGTCCTTGGGATATCCTAGGCTAGTAATGCAATTGTCGTTCATAACCAAATCCTGCAGCATTCGCCAAAGGGATGCGCGCTTTCTTGCATGAGATCAAAACTTATCCATTTATTTATAGAGTGAGAAGATTGTATCTTCCAGCGATTTTCCAGTCGCCAACACTTTCAACACGAATAGGCAAAAGTGACCACACACCACCGAGCCTCGCTGCTGTAATTCATCGGTGCTATATCGAATTTCAGGCTGAAAGTAGTTCACCATCTCTTCAGGCGGTGGCAATCCATAAGAGTCAAAGTAATACTTTACCGGTCCACGTTTATACCAGCAAGTCTAATGCGTTCCAGGACCCTCCCAGCTATCATGATTCAAGATTCCACATTCGATGCGGCGCGGACTGGGTGGTAGGGTATCTAGCATAAACACCCCTCTAAAACTTTGGATTCCTGGGGCTGTGACGGCGTTCTCCAATTCCTTATTCGACAGAGGCTTGTGGGGAAGAAATACATTGTGCACCTCGAGGTATTTCATTCTTTTCTGAGTTTTACCCATACTTTATCTATTGCAGACGGTGTTGCTCCTCAATTTTGTAATTTCCATGAGCAAGGGTGCTAATTCCGTCGGGGAGAATGTGTCGCTTGGTATCTTTAGCCGAAAGTGCAACCTTGTTGATCTCCTGAGTGTAGATCTGATGGCGGTAACTTCGGAAAATATTCATCGGTCGGTATATTTCCTGCTGGGTGTCAAAACATCTCTTATAGTTGTCAAAGGTAATATGCTGCTTGGTGACAGCCTTTGTAACACCATTTGCTTTCTTGGTAGTGTCTCCATCATCCATTTTGTACGCATATAATTTTGGTCGAAGTCCCACGAAGCCAGTCATACTCTTACCACCACATTCGTCCTTAAACATTCCAATTATCTTCTTGTTGACGCCGGATGGAATTCCTGAAGGGTGGTCAGCTGGATAGTTCGAGGTATCGAATTTTTCCTTAACATGGGGGTAACATCTTTGTAAAAATCCTCGGTCTGAATTTCATAGGCCAAGCTATCTGTATCGGTAAACAGTAGCCGGGCGTTATCACCATACATCTCCTGTATGAAACCGTAATGGAATTTATACATCAGGAACTTTGAGATGTCCAGGATACATGCTCCTAAGTAGACTGGCTTGTCGAATTTCAGCTTGGTTCTTTTCATGTGAACGGCTGCCAGATTTTCATTGAATACGACCCGGCAATCAAAATTGGGCTTAGACACCAGTTTTAGGGCTTGTTTTCACTGTTCACAAGTCGAACATCGACCCTCTTTCGAATATTCTCCATCGTTTTTCCAAACACTGAATTATTCATGAGTTAGTAAAAATCTTTCTCAGCATCGCTTGTAGCCTGAGCTCTGAGTTCGGTATTCTGGTCGATATACGGTTTAAGCCATGGGGATTGTTCAAATCTGATGATCCGATGAACCTTTTTCAAGATCATTCCCTGGGAGATATAGTATTGGAGGTTCTGAAGATGAAGGGTATATTTTTCGCGTTTGCCTAGATGAGGTACCAATTTACGAGCTCCGTCGATTTCCATGGCTTCCGGCGCGAGAGGGTAGTCGTTATGACTATCGTGGAAGTGTTGAGGATATTCTAGATCACTTTCTACTAACGCCCCATATTTATGATCTTCTGAATATTTTAACATCTCGTCGATCTCCTCTGGATCTACCCATTCAAACCCTCCTGTGGGAAGGGGTTGTGCCATAGCCCACCCATATAAATTGTTTGCATCTAGGTAGGTCATAAACTTGGTTGGCTGCGATGGATCGTAATTGCTCATATATGGATTATAAGCCTTTCCGAGTCGGTGAGATATCATGGCCACACCTCCCCTAGTCGCATTTTCGAACATCAACAGCAAATCCGGATCGGCCAGAAGTTTCAGTCGGATCCTGGTGTATTTTAGCATCGCTTCGTAAGATAGCCCTGGGGATGTGAAATAGTGTGCGGGATCGAGCTTGTGAGTTTTCATACAGTTATCCCTGAAATTCTCGAAAATATCTTCTAGTAAGGCCACATCACTTTCCAAGTAAAGATTGTGATAATCTCGCATCGTCCGGCAACTAAATTCCTTGAACACCAGCTGGGCATGGGCGTAATCTTCATTGGAAATATGTTCACCGCTGAGTTTGTTGAAAAACGTCTCCTTAGGTGGTAGCTGTGTTTCCTCCAACTTGGTGGGACTATCTACATAATCGTATGGATATACTCCCTTCCTAATCATCAGTTCGGTGTGATCACCGAAACACTTCTGCGTTGCCTTGAATTTTTTTTTAACATAGCACCCTTCGATAATTTGCGCAAAATATGCGCCTGTTTCTCTTCTACAAGACCTATATAGTCATACCTCGTGACACCCCTCATTATTTTTCTCTAGAAGCCATGGAATAGGCCAACCCCCATGTTTTTAATATTTTTTCTCCAATTTTTGAGCTCTAGTTTCAGATTTTTGAACATAACGCCCTTCGATACCTTGCGCAAAAGATGCGCCTGTTTCTCCTCTACAAGACCTATATAGTCATACCCCGTGACACTCCTCATTATTTTTCTCTAGAAGCCATGGAATAGGCCAACCCCCCTGTTTTTAACAATTTTTTTTTTTAAATTTTGAGCTCTAGTTTCAGATTTTTGAACATAGCGCCCTTCGATACCTTGCGCAAAAGATGCGCCTGTTTCTCCTCTACAAGACCTATATAGTCATACCCCGTGACACCCCTCATTATTTTTCTCTAGAAGCCATGGAATAGGCCAATCCCCCTGATTTTAACAATTTATTTTTTAATTTTGAGCTCTAGTTTCAGATTTTTGAACATAGCGCCCTTCGATACCTTCCGCAAAAGATGCGCCTGTTTCTCCTCTACAAGACCTATATAGTCATACCCCGTGACACCCCTCATTATTTTTCTCTAGAAGCCATGGAATAGGCCAACCCCAATTTCTGCAAATGTGTATCTTAGTTCAATTAAACAATGACATCAATGGTGCTGTATTTTACAGGGAAGGACTACTTTTACTTACGTTCTAAATTGAAGTGGGTGCATTAGTGGTCTTACACCTACAAATAATTCCTTGACAGATGCAGATCTACTGTGGTACTGAATATTATCCTAAAAAGAGATGTGACTTGTTTTATTAATGGATGGGATAAATACCATTTCATGATAGAGTTGAAATTGCAATATTTGGACGGAATTTCTACCTGTTTAAATATTTTTCATTTAACGGTCGTTGCTGTCTTATTCATTTTTTCGGTTTTTAGATATATCGCCTTATTGTTCGCTGGCTTATTGTTCGCTAGTTATTGTTCGCTAGCTTCAGCCTGGTCAAGTACAAAGAGTAGTAGAGAAAACACATTGAATGAAAATTGTAATTTTCTTAACAAAATGTCCTTTAAAGGGGCATTTAGCTGTCAAACTCATGCTCACCGATTTGACTCAAATTCTCATATTTGATTTATAACATACTAAAACGTATATTCAAATTATAAAAAGTCTAAAATAAACAATTTACAATGCATGGGCTCGATAATATGTATCAGCTTTTATTCCTTTTAATAACTGAACACGCCGTATTCATGCGTTACCCATCTCTAGCTAAGGGATAAATTGAAGGTCACATGAAAACGGATTCAATGAGGTCTAATTATTTACTTGCAAGTGAATAATTCGTCAGCGATGTTTCTTGGCTTATTTTGACAAAATTGAACCAAACTGGCTGCTAAAAGCGCATTATTATTTCACTATTTCATTTTCATTAATGATTGAACAAAAAAAACCATTCTTCAATTTTTTTTATCTCGTAGCTAATGCCCCTTTAACGGAGTAATTATTCTTTCAGTGTGTTTAAAGATTTCTTTTAACGAAATTGTTTTCAATCGCTCATTAAAAATTATGATAGATATTTTAAGCTACCCATTTAAAACTTATACACAAAACCATATGATAGATTATGGTATGTCAATGCCACTTTTTAGCTATTTAACAACCATAACAGTACTGTATGTTTTTTTATTTTTCTGGTACTCATAAGTTTTAAAATTTAACGGACCAAATAATGGCTCCTTTCAAATAGCTTCTTCTGCGTTTCATAAACATGTTTTAATATGTGAATTTATAAGCGTTGAAGAAATATACTCACCAAGAACCATCTGAATTAAAAACACTGCATATATCTATAAAAAAAAGTATTGTACAGTACATGTATCATAAGCTGAAATAAACGTGTGTATGTTATATATTACTCTGTTTGATGACGGCGAATAACGATAAAAGCTAGGATGAAATTTGAAAAAAATGCAGGACAGTAGTTTTTAGTAAAAAAAAAAGGCAGGATGAGCAACTTAGCAAAAAAAAAAAATTATTGATTGTTCAATTGCAGGTTCCAATAGTATTAAATGCTACTCTTCCAAGCATGACCCCTTCCCTAAATCTGAAATAATTTGCTAAGGGAGCTACCATTTGATTTTTAGGGGGGGGGGGGGGGGTGAAATTTGAAAAAAAAGGCAGGACAGGAGTTTTGAGTTTAAAAAAAGGCAGGATGAGCAACTTGGCAAAAAAAAAGGCAGGATGACAATTTATGTAAAAAAAGTCATAATAAAAAAAAGGCAGGACCAGGACAGAGATTACAACTAAAAGATTACAACTAAAAAAAAAATGCAGGACAAAATCTTTCATCCTAGCCCCTCCCCCCCCCCCCCCCCCCCCCCCCCCCCCCCCCCCCCCGAAAAAAATCAAATGGTAGCTCCCTAAGATGCCATAGGATAAAATATTTCAGTTTTTGTACAAATTAATTCAATATAAGAATCTCTGAATTAGAAAAAAATAAAAACTTCTAACAATGTGTGCGGTAAAGTGTGATAAATTGTTCGTACAATGTACTTTTTATTGTGTTTAGAGATTTCTGTGTCGTTGAAATTTACCCACAATTTCATGTCATGCTTACATGTATCAAATATCGAGAGATCCTCGGCTGATAGACGAGCACAAAATAAAGACATGAGTAAATTTAATCTTTTAACAATGATTGATAGTAGCCAAGTGAAGAAGACACATTTAAAATTTTGCAAATATATACTTAGTACTGGGGCTTAGTAGACGATCTGTCAATATAATAGCTGCTAGAGCAGAACTTGCCCAGTATCCAATATGACGTCCATTTTCATGGAACTAGTACACATTTTTGTATAGGTGCCAGCTGAAGTCCGCCTCCGGGTGCGGGATTTTCTCGCTGTGTTGAAGACCCATTGGTGGCCTTCGGCTGTGTTTTTTACTCTCTGGTCGGGTTGTTGTCTCTTTGACACATTCCCCATTTCCATTCTCTATTTTAATCACTGAAATACTTAGCAAGAAAATCCAGTGATGAAAATAACCCTTCGTTATATATGTTTTCTGTTTATCTAAATGACTCAGCACAAACGATATATTTTTATGGTTCTCATATGTAGAAAATATAGCTAACACAAATAAAATAGACCAAAAAAATACAGGATATAAACTATAAATAAGAGAAGAGTTCTTTCTCAAAAAATATTAAAAGATCATAACTAAAACATGTAAAAGACAGCTTTGAAAATTTATTCTTTGAAAAAATCAAAATCAACTAATGGAACAAGTAAAATGTTCTTGTACAATAACATTAAGATCAAATATGAATTGGATAAATATATTCTTAAAAATAATTTTGAAAATCGAAAAATTTTATGTAAAATGCGAGTAAGTAACCATTTCTTGGAAATAGAGAGGGATAGATATGAAAGAATTCAAAGAGAAAATAGAATTGTAATCATTGTAATATTAATGAGGTTGAAGATGAAACCCACTTTTTCTTAACATGTAATATTAATAAGTCTTTACGAAAACAACTCGAAAAAGACATAAAAAAATATAAATCCAGGATTTATGAAATAATCTGAAAAAGTTAGATTACAATTACTTCTATCTTCATTTGATATTATGCAGCTTACTGTTCCGTTTATTAAAAATTCATTTGCACTATAGTACTGGTGAGAGTGGACACAACACCTACATAAATATTATTTCATTTTTTACTGCCGGTATATATGATGTTAAAGTAGTTTATCATTTTTGCATTGTGTATATATTTGTACTGTATTGTTTATATGCCTTCAACCCCTCGGTAAAAACATGATAAATGTGCATTTCATTAATACATAAATAAATATTGTAGCGTCTTTAAATGAGATATAGTATTACATATTATTTCAAGGTGACGTCTATCAGCCCCTTTGCACATGCAGTATATTATCATTCAATTAGTTCCGAACATTTCCCTTCAAAGTTTTAATTTAATTATAGAAACTTACCACAAGAAATTTTATGATAGATTCCATGGTGCTCTTTTATAATACACTTTTATAAACAGAGGAAAGTTGAAAATCCAGGCGACCACAAACTGTGCTATATTGTTGACTGATACGCTATGTATAGCAATTGTAGTGTAAAAAAGTTCAAGGTGCACGTTTAAATTACACGCTTGAATCCTAACCTACATTTCGGTACAAATGATTTTACCTTATATAATACACAACAGTTTCTATCCATCAACATACAGAATCAGACATACGTAACTAAATTGGGGTCATACACTTAAAAGTCATTAGACCCGAGGTCTGGGGAACTCTTGACTATATATACTGGAATATTATGATTATGTACATTTGTGTACGTCAATTGTATATATATATATATATCAGTACATTTTTACTTGTCACAAACACAAGTATATATACGAAGGCAATAAACATTACGTTTAAAATGTGTTCCACATAAATAGTTCTTAACCCATATCATATGGTCGAAATAAGTTTAAAAAACACAATATTTTATTAATACAATTATTCAACTAAACATCAGTTTTTAACAGGTTTACAGCTATTTAAATGCATATAAAATTTTAAGTGTGAAACCTTTAATTTGAAAAAGTTTTACAGTCAATTCTTTGTTTCAGTCATTTTTCCATTTATCATTTTCCTAACTGCGATGAGGAAAAGCTGCAAGCGTTAAACATGTTAAAGTTACCAAGTACCCATATCTTAACCAATTTTAAATAAAAGTACTATAATCTATTTTAACTACCCGGAGTGGTACCTAGGGGTTGAAACACGCAACCCCTTAAGCTTATTCTTCGGATTTGAAGACGTCAAGTCGACGAAAAGTTAGCCATAAATTTCTCATTTTGCAATTGAACTCTTTGAAACCACTTTTTAGAATAACAGATTCTGGATTCGGGCCAGCAACTTGTGACATAGTGCACGCCATCATTGTCACATTACAATTTTGGACCCCCAAAAAAAATCTGTTCTTAACTATGATTTCACAAATAAAGCTTTCTTTCAACATTTGAAACACGTTTTTAGTGTTGTGATGTTGTCGTTATTAAGTAGACTCACTTTTGTACATTTTTAGAACACAATGTGTATTTTGCTTTAAAATAAAATAATCCGTTTACTCCGCTGTTTCGGACATCGGTTCAACAAATTCTATGGAAAATCGAATTCGAAAACACGTCACTAAATACACAACATACAGAAAGAAACCGAAATATTAAGAATGGGGTTTGGATAAGCATTATAAAAATGTATTTAACCCCGCCGCATTTTTGCGCCTGTCCCAAGTCAGGAGCCTCTAGCCTTTGTCAGTCTTGTATTATTTTTAATTTTAGTTTCTTGTGTACAATTTGGAGTTTAGTATGGCGTTCATTATCACTGAACTAGTATATATATTTGTTTAGGGGCCAGCTGAAGGACGCCTCCGGGTGCGGGAATTTCTCGCTGCATTGAAGACCTGTTGGTGACCTTCTGCTGTTGTCTGTTCTATGGTCGGGTTGTTGTCTCTTTGACACATTTCCCATTTCCATTCTCAATTTTATTTTATTATACTGCAGTGAAATATCCAAGTTAATCATGAAATGTTATTGGTTGGAACCTTTTTTTAACACTTTTGAAATTCATCAACGGAAAAGTTTATTAAATTTAAAGTTAGCCCTTTGGTCGATAAACAAACCTAAATTATTGTTTCGATGGTTATTTACAAAGGTAATTTATTCATCTTAAAAATAACAAAATATTATTGATTTACAAATGGGTGTTATACGTTCAGCGGCACGTATCACATGCATTGTCATGACGGTAGCATGGATATACCCTGCCCTCACGCGGAGTCGAATCTTAATGTGCATACTCAAAAGATTAGCTGTCCGCATAAAAACACATTTTGCTGACATCTATAGCCTGCCATGATTCTTTATACATTGATTGCTAAATTCTACGCGATTCGGTATCAGAGAAGCATCAAAACCAGCTATGTATCTTTTAGATATTTACTGATTGATTGTTTGATTTTTTATCAGTTGCTTTTGGCTTTGGTCTAGCTTTCATATTGGTTATTTGTGTTTTTAGTCTTTTTATTAATTATGTTTTTTTTAGTGTGTACTTTGTGTCGATCAGATGAGTCAAGCCCTTTTCAACTAATTATGTTGTGCTGTTTCATTTGTGTAATATTTTGTCATGGTGTGGTATTTAAATGCTTGTTATGCAGTATGGGTTTTGCTCATTGTTGAAGGATGTACGGTGGTTTTGTACCGAAATGGATTTATACTCACTTAAACTAAATCAAATCATTTTCAATATAATGAAATTCTTTGCGATTGTCATACAAGTGAGAGGTTTAGCTAGCTATAAAACCAGGTTTAATCCATCATTTTCTACATAAGGAAATGTCTGTATCAAGTCAGGAATATGACAGTTGTTTTCCATTCGTTTGATGTGTTTGAGCTTTTGATTTTGCCATTTGATAAAGGACTTTCCGTTTTGAATTTTCCTTGGAGTCCGGTATTTTTTCTTTTTTTTTTTTTCTTTTTTTTTAAACTGTTGACACAGAAATATATAAATTATGCGAAATATTCAGTCAATAAACAATGACTAAAGGTACATGGCCAAATAATTTTCTTTAGAAATGAATTATGCCAGATTTGTGCTCAAACTACTGCATACCAATGAAATATTACTCATTTGCTCATCATAAGTACTTTCCCTTAAACAGACCTAATCAAAAACTTTAACATGTAAACTATACAAAAGTTTCAAAGTTAATAGACCTTAGCTGAGGGGGCAGGGCATCGAAATAGTTGTCAAATTAACATGTACTGATAGTAATGCAGCTGTATAGAAAATATCGTTGATCATTGATTTCTCACAAGTAGTTCCTATCAAACTTACTTTTAAGCTGAAGACTTAACAATTGTTGATGCCGTCGCCGTAGATTTCGAGCAACACATATGTTTCGCCTTCCGCGACTTTCGTCGAAGGCGAGACAAAAACAACTAGTGTGAAGCTAGCTAGTGTTAATATTTAGTGCATCATGATGCACAATAAAGACGACAACACATTAACAATAAAGCTAATTCGTCTATGTAACTTCTGCAAAGTGTTTGAACAGTAATAAGGGCGGAGACAGTAGGCTGTCACCGGAAAAAGAGGGTAATTTCTTATTTTAAAGATCAGTCTGTACCAATAATTTCTTATACCTATACCAAACCAACTGCAACTAAAATTTTCAATTACAAACACGTTTTTGCAGGATCTCAACATTGACGACATCAAGTCTAGACCTCCTGATTGCACCTGTGCTAGTTCCCAATTCACATATAATCCGGCTGGCCACGTTATTACCGGAAACCTCAACATTGTCAATAACACTTCCTTGCGAAATTTGTTATCCAAAGGTCCGAAATATCGTGAGCCTAAATCCATCAATTGGAAATACAACTTCAAAATACTGATGGATTCAGTCGAGGATTATGCCAGGCAATGGGCTAAACGCGAGAAAGAAGACGTAGATACTCTTTCCGAATGGATTAAGGCTGTGAGGTCGTTGATACAAATCCGAATTAAGAAACTAAATGAGCATATCAATACCCACGCTACATCAATTTTTAAAGACCCAAATGTTGCAAAACACTTGTCCTACCTCCATGACAAATATGTTGTTGTCCCCGCAGATAAAGCCCCAAACAACATCGTTTTTGTGTGTAAATATCATTACATAAACTGCTTGATAAATGAATTAGGTATTGACAATTCACTTGGAAACTCAACATATACCCTGACGACACTTACCAAAGAGGAAATCCTGGATAATCATAGGTCTGTTCTATGTTCCTTTGGAATTTCAACCAAAGATGAAGAACTGGATCTTCCATCACTGTATTGGATACCTAAACTACATAAGGGTCCTTACAAACAACGGTATATTGCTGGGTCTTCCAAGTGCTCCACGAAACCTCTTTCTAAATTATTAACATCTATTTTATCAGAAATCAAAGCCGGGCTCCAAAGTTATTGTGAAAGTGCCTATTCTAGAGGTCGCGTGAATCAGATGGGAATACAAAAAAATTCCAAAGATCTTTTAGAGTACATACAATCTAAGACTCTCTCATCTTGCAATAGTATTAAAACATTTGACTTTTCTACACTTTACACAAGTATTCCCCATTCCAAACTAAAAGACAAATTGAAAGAGTTGGTATTACTTTGTTTCATTAAAAAGAATGGCGAACGTAGATACAAGTATCTTGTCTTGGGGAAGGATAAATCCTACTTTGTAAAGTATCACTCTGATTCAAACAAAAAATTCTCTGAAACTGACATTATCAAGATGCTTGATTTCTTGATTGACAACATATTTGTAACGTTTGGAGGACGTGTTTTTCAACAGACTGTCGGAATTCCAATGGGAACCAATTGTGCCCCTCTTCTTGCCGACTTGTTTCTTTATTATCATGAGGCTGACTTCATACAGGAACTTCTTAGGAAGAAAGATAAGATGTTAGCAATATCCTTTAACTATACATTCCGCTATATAGATGATGTTCTCTCTCTAAATAATACAAAATTTGGTGATTATGTTGAACGAATCTATCCCATCGAACTAGAGATAAAGGATACTACAGATACAGTTAAGTCTGCCTCATATCTTGACTTACATCTAGAAATTGACAATGAGGGTCGGTTGAAAACAAAACTTTACGACAAAAGAGATGATTTCAGCTTCCCAATTGTGAACTTTCCATTTCTATGTAGCAACATTCAAGCAGCGCCTACATACGGAGTATATATCTCCCAATTGATACGATATTCTCGGGCTTGTGTTGCCTATCATGATTTCCTTGATAGAGGATTGCTGCTCACAAGGAAGCTATTAAGCAAAGAGTTCCAAATGGTGAAGTTGAAATCATCCCTTCGTAAATTTTACGGACGCCATCACGAGTTGGTTGGCCGTTATGGAATAACCGTTTCACAGATGATATCGGATATGTTCCTTATGTCGTAACTACAATACCCTTCCCTTTTCACGAATGTGACTTACCGAATTAGACTATTTACCGGATTTGCAATAACATAAGCAACACGACGGGTGCCACATGTGGAGCAGGATCTGCTTACCCTTCCGGAGCACCTGAGATCACCCCCAGTTTTTGGTGGGGTTCGTGTTGCTT